CAAGTGTGTTCTGGATCAAAATCAGGCCAGAACTTTCCCTAAAAGCAAAAAATGACACAACTGAGGTTGTTATAATTTGGACACATCTTGAGAAGGAAAGTCTCACTGGAGGAGACAGTCATTCTAGGGCAAGCAGAGGGCAGAAGAAGAAAAGAAAGACCAAAGTAGAGATGGATTGCCTCCATTAAGGAAGCCACAGGCTTGAATTTTAAACAGCTAAGGATGCTATGGTTAAGATATCTTGAAGCGCTTTAATTCATAAGGTGCCATAAGTATGAACATGTGTTCAAGAAGGAACTGGGGTAGAAGAAGTAGTATAAAGCTACAGCTGGCATCCCTTCCTAGAGCCTGACAACATAACATTTTGCTAGCTACCTTGTAGCCATATGACAAAATGGCATACCAAGAGCACTGTGGATAAGTGGCAGATGTGCCTGCAGATTCTATGAAGTCCTCCAAAACAAACAGTGTATATTTGGATACATGAATGATTTAGGTGCTTATAATGGGGATGTGTGTTATGTACAAGTGGTTTAAATCGCCTGTTGTGGAATATTTCCACATACACATGTAGAGTGCAGTTGAGAAATGAATTTCACAGGAAAGAATGTTGCAGAGGTTTTAGTTGGCAGCAAAATGCCCAGGGCTTTGTTGCCCATTTATTTCTCACTTTCTCCAAGTGTTAGTTTTGTGGACATGTGAAAAGGGATGGCACGGGGGGGGGGGGGGGGGAATCAAGCAACTGTTAAGTTGCCCAATCAGCTTCCTCTCCATGCATAGTTAGTGATATCAGTTGAGTCATTAGGATATAATTACGATTGGAGTGTAAGGTGCAGTTTGTTGAAAAGCCTCTATTTATAGTGAATGAGACATTGCACTGTACATAGGAAGAAAAAATTGGTGGGTGGAGGAGTCGCAGAGAGAGAAGAGAAGTTGCTAGCAAATCAGGGCCATTGTTTATGGCTATTTATGAGAAACTATGTAGATTAACAAAGCCTCACACTCAGCGACGCAAAAATGGTACAGAAGAGATGCCTGGCAGGGGTTAAGTTCTTATGCCTGCACTGCAGCCTATTTCTGTCAACCCTGGACTTGGGAAACAAACATTTATGCTTTGTGAAATGAAAGTGTATTTTTGAAGACTAGCCGTCAGATATTTTTTGCCCTTCACACTTTCAAATGCTTAGCCTTTTTTGTAAGTTGACTGCAAAGTGCATCAGTTTCCCAGGCCAAGAGAAAGAAAGAAAGAAAGAAAGAAAGAAAGAAAGAAAGAAAGAAAGAGGGGGCAGGGGGAGTCTCTTGACAAGTGCCCATGGCATCATTGTCAAGTACATGAGCTTCAAGTAGAAGATGGCAGAAGGGTTGGCACAGAACATGCTTCCTTCAAGCCTATTACCTCCAGGGTACCTGACTCTTGAGAAGCTTTTCAATCCTTCCAAATGACGTTATTCCAAACTGTCATCTGGTTTATTTGGAGCACACTGTCTCGCAGATAAACATGCTATTTAACTGCAGGTCAAGGTACAGAGTCATTCTGCTAGCAAAATGCCTGGGATACATTAAATGGCATTGACATGCAGTGGGAGACAAAGAGAGATCAAAGTTGTCACCAGCATACATAGAATTGGTCTGCACTGGTTGCGGGGTGGGGGCTGATGCACTGCAGTATATTGAAGCATATTTTTAAAAGCGATGATATTGTTGAACATTTAAAACTATGGTCTGTCAAATGCTGGGGATTAAGGTGCTGTTTAAGATAGAACATGAAGTTCAGGAGCGTAATGGCAAATCAGCATCTTCTACATCTTGGGGAACAGCTCAGGGGCAAGGAGCTGGAAAATGTTAACTAGTCGAGATAGCAGGAAATCTGTTTATAGGCAGTTTGGTGATTTCATTTCATACAGAGAAAAAATCACTTGTCACAAATTCAAAGATAAGGATGTTCTTTTTAATGCTGGTATGACGAATTATGCAGTGGTTTATTATAGTGGTTAGTATTTTTCAAGAAAGCTTAGCATTTTGGAATGATCACTTACATTTGATAATTCCTAGTCATATGCATAGACATTCTTTGTGGATATTTGAACTCTTGAAATTCTTTAGCCAGCCCAGTTTTATGATTTTGGAAGTTAATAATCAAGTATGAATATAGCCCTGGTTTATTTATATTCACACACATTATAAACTTGCTAAATTAGTACTTCTGTCCTCACTACCTTCACTAAAGACTTCATGATGCATTTCCAGGAACAAAGGGAAGCACAATTGTGTTAAAGGACTCAGAGAACTTGACCAAATTCGGGCGTAAAACTACTGAATTCAGCCTTCTACAGTGTATTAGTGTGTCCTGCAAATGCATTTTTCCGTTAAGGAAAATAAGTTCTTAAAGTCCATTTATATTTTGCCTAAGTAACTTCATAATCAGAACAAAGTGCCTGCCCTCCCCGCAAAATGAAGCCCTCCTGTCTAAAACTATAGAATCACATTTTTGTTACAAAGAATGTGCTATAGAACTGAGAAATAATTTGCACTTTTGTAAAATCTGACCAAACATCATCCCTTACAAATGCATTTCAGGACTTCCCCCTGCTTTTGGAGATATCCTTTAATTGTCTGCTACTCTGATTATGTTAGAAAAGCATACTGTAATTGATATATATTTTAAACAGAAAACTGCACACAGAAGTTAGTTCATAAATAAAAAGCAGGACCTTAGGTGCTTCCCAAAGCAGGGGGCAGATGGGGGGAGCATAGAAAGAAAAATGATTGAAATTAAAACTTCTTTTGTGATCAAAAGGGATTTTATTGCCTTTTGCTTAATTAAATGCCTCAGAAGTGTGTGAAACATTGTTATAGCTAAAAAAATTGTTACTTTGTAAATCGTAGGGACAAAAGGCTCTACTGCAACTTTAAAGTTTCCGTGCACGTAAATGTCAATAGAGTGCCTTCTCCATCATCAGCACTAAATTCACATTGATGCCTCTTTTCTTCTCTGTATTGATCCTTCCATGAGAACGTAGATTTGTATCTGTTAATTAATGCGTCCTGAAACAGCGTTTGTATTAATCAGGCAGATAAGAAAAATTGGATGCCTGCACCCTCATGACAACCGTAAAAGTGCTGGCCCTGATAAAAATCATGGATGGACCTCAATAAAAAAGTTCCTCCTTCCACTCAATAAACTAATCATCCTGCTTTTAATTATTCGGCAGAAAGATGTGTGGAGATTGGAGAATGTGTAAATCTATTTACTAACAGCGGTGTCTGGGAGGGAGGGAGGGAGGGAGGGGCTGTCACAGGACAGTGCTGCAGGCTATGCTCTCTGTCCATCTGCTGCAGTAGAAAAACTGGTTCTTGAGAGAGAGGAGAAGGACAGAGATGCTGGAGCTAATTGAAAATATGCATTCCTCTTTTGACCCTTTCAAATTATTACTTCTGTTTCGTTTCTTTCCATTTCCGATAAGAAGTATGGTGCTGTCCATTTTCATCCTTCAAAGGCCTTTTCTAGACCTGTGTGACGATGTTGATCTTGTTTCAATGGCACTGCAAATGTCCTTTTATCATAAGGCACAAAGTGGCAATACAGAGACAGTGTCCACTTAAGCATTTCACTTCTAATATATGCTTCCCGACTTTGAATGATTTCCCCCTCTCTGTTTGTTTATTTTTATTTTACTATGCTTGTTTCAGAATGATGCAGTGGTCTGAATCTAAATTGATGCCTGTGGGTATTTCCTTTGCCCCTTTTGTTTCCCATCATAACGTATAGACACCGCTTCTATTGTAAGGAAGGATATTTAAATGAGGAGGGCAATGTGTTTAAAGATAAATGAGCAACCAAAACAGACTGTTCTTTCTGCAGGATCCTTGTCAAAGCCACATGTAAGCAGCTCCATAAACAACCAACTGAAAGCTTTAGACATGTCTTAAGACCCCCTTAAGAAAAGCTTGACTAATCCCCTTTGATGATTTTATTAAGTACTTGGTAGTTGCTGGTGCCAACTGGCAAACTGCTACATTTCACCAACAGGCCAGGAAATCGCTTCTTCACTGGCACCTTATGTGATTCATAGGATATTAGCAGTTGGAGATAATAAATAAAAAGCTACTGTAAACAGAAGCCTGAAAAGGTATGACAGGAAAGATGTTTGCCCTTAGTGATCCTATTAGGAAGAAAAAGGGAGGGGGAGCTAGAGTAAAACAAAAGCCCAACTTAAATTCATTAAGAAGCATTATTAAATTTTCACTCTCTCTCAAAAATGATGGTGTGATTACTATTCACTTGGCACTTTAATGTGCCATCCTATTATTTCAGCAGTGTGGTAGAGGCAAAAGCTATTACAGAAGTAAATTAGCATCTTTTCTGAAGAGGGTAGGTCTTTCTGAGGTTGAAGTTCAGAAAGCACTTTTGTTGTTGCTGTTATCTGCTTAATTCTATTAAGGTATCAACCCCCCCCCCAACATATTTTTTTCTTTTTTGTTACACACATACACACACACTCACCTCAAAGTGGAACTCTCACATCATCACACTTCAATCCCATATGTCTACTTATAAGTAACTGAGCTCAGTAGGGTTTACTCTCAGATAAATGTGTTTAGGATTTCTGTGTTCTCAGAAAGCCATTTGACCCAAATAATTTTAATATTATTTATCAAATCAGAGCCTCAGAGTAATCAATGTTTAGAATATATTTGAAAAGACCTATTTCTGAATACTGAAAAGGTATAATGCTGAAGATTCAGGTTGCAACAAAAGGCCCTCAGAAATTTAAAATGACCCCAAGATTAAAGGCACACTGATTCAAGTTTACTTGATGAGACTTTTATTATAATTATTTTTGTTGATTGATCTTGGAGATCAGGCAGGATGGAATCCATAGATACAGAATTATAACTTACGTAATAATAACAAGCACAAAAGTATCGGTATAATGCAGAATTACAATGGCCTAAGACCATTTTAATTATGTTTCTGTGTACTTTCCTTCCTGGTTTAGGATTTTCCACTTTATCGCTTGCCGACCAGATGAGCCTTCTGCAGAGTGCTTGGATGGAGATTTTGATTCTGGGCGTTGTATACCGATCACTTTCCTTTGAGGATGAGCTTGTCTATGCTGAAGACTATATCATGGATGAAGATCAGTCTAAATTAGCAGGCCTTCTTGACCTCAATAATGCAATCCTACAACTGGTCAAAAAATACAAGAGCATGAAGCTGGAGAAAGAAGAGTTTGTCACCCTCAAAGCTATCGCACTTGCTAATTCAGGTTGGCAGATTGGCATGAGAGCTCATGTCATTCCCCCACTCCTCTAATACCTTCTGCATGACAATTTCTAAACATGACAGCAGGAATAAGTATTTCTTAATCGTACTGCTACAGGATGATGCCGAATGGCTAGAAACAAGTTCAAATTAAGGGAGGATCTGTGATTATAAGGATTTGTTACACAGGGTTTCTAATTTTGTTAAAAGATGCCAGAAAATTTGGAAGCTATTAAAAGCGAAGATCCTTTTCAATAAACATAAATGTTGTTCTGCTTAAATCCATTTCATAATCCAGATAAGTCTAATCAGTTCACTAAAACCCAATAGAATGGATAGGCCCATGACTAAATGTAATATATGATCTTCTTCAATCCAGCTACTAAACACAGTGAACTCAATAAGTAAGGTGAACTCAGGTTTTATCAGAGAAGAGAGCAAATCACTGTTTAATCTTACAGGAACTCTTCTTTGCCATACAAATTTGATTTTTATGGTAGCTGTTTAACTGACAGATCTATCTTGTTCAGAAGGGGTTAAGAAATCAAGGCAGGCCTCTTCTCTGCATTTGAACTTAAAAGTGCTGAAGCAGTGAGCCAGTGTCTGATAAGTAAAAAAAATCGTTTGTTCTTTGTTGTTTTTGCTTTTGTGCCTCCCTAATGCTTTATTGTGGTCTTAAGTCCCTTTTAGCATTTGCATAAAGTTCATGATAGATCCCTCTTTAATGACGTGCCGATCATTAGATACCTGTGTGTCAATAACATGCTCTGATGCTATGTACCATTGACAGTCACACCGTGCCCCTCCATCTGCTTTTGTTTTGACCCTATCTTTGAACTTTATCTTGGTTGCTGGCCAGTAGTTTTCCCTTTAATTACAAGAAGGAAACTGTCAATAAAATCTGTTAAATGGGATGCAATGAGTGGCTTGAATGGGCGGACGGCTATTTGTTCAAATTCTGCAGCATTCAAGGTATTGACAGTTTGTTTTCTGGGGCCATATGTGACGATCAATCTCAGGCTGGGCTCAGCCGCGCTGAAAAATGAAAAACCAGATTGCTTTTGCTTACTTGTGGATGACGACTTGTGATTTGGCGCGGTCCTAGTGAGATGAGACCTTCTGCCCAAATTGCCCCCCCGAGATCCAAGATGCATGACTGTTTTTAGAAATAATTTTTAATTGATTTTGTAATTAACAGTTCATCTACAGTATCGATGCATGAATCCTCAGATTGATAGGAGGAAAATTGTTTTCAACAATGAAGTTGTACTTTCCTATTTGTCTTCATAATGGGATCTAGCATTTTACATTTTTAATTGGGATTTACATTCCAGGACACCCCACATAAAATGCAAACCCAAAATATTATACTCAATGTTTTCTTCCATTGATAGAAGTATACACCAGTTTTGTTATAATACATATTCTAATTCTAGTTATTGTCTCAAATCCCATCATATTTACATGAGAAATAAGTTTACTTTCTCTAAGAACCATCATATGGTATCCATATTGTTGTTGCCATCTCTGATGACTCCTGATAAAAATTATGGGCACAGAAACCAGGTACAGCTTCTATGGAAATATTAATTTTGGGATATTTTCAAAGTCATCTAACCTCTGCATATTTGGAGGTGATTGAGACAGCATTTCTGTCTGACCTGCAGAGATTTAATATGACATTCATTGAAATTATCAGCTTAGCATAAACATCTGGCTTGATTCAATAATAATTAATGCTCTTTTATGCTCTAAATCGGTGAACTGATTTAACAGTAACCTCCCTCCCTCATTCCCTCCATTTTCCACCATGCATAAAGGAGCTGTGTACATTAATATGAATGGAATATTATTAGTTTTAAAACTCCAGTTCATAATGGTTTGAAATAAGACGAAAGAGGACTGAGAAAGAAGACCGATCTGTACAGCGAAAAAGCAGTTTAGGTCAGGAGAGGAAGGACATCCAGGTGTGTTCTAACGGGGTCTTCTTTCCTAATCCCCAGTTTTCACAGACATCTCCAGCTTTGATGGGTGATGAAAATTGGGTAGTATGAAAAGCTACTGTAGCTCACACCAGCCTGAACAGCCTCTGTAGGGTTCCCACTGAAATGCAATGGTCATGAAACTAAAAAGATGTATTTGGGCTCTTTCTCAGTCTCTTCCAACTCTTCAGGAATGTAGCCTGCATTGAGAATACAACCTAGCTAAACAATGGATTCAGGTAGTGGTAGAAACTCACATTTCTTTGTCTAATATGCAAATATGTCTTAAATATCATCTGATCTAATGCAGCTTTTCCCAACCTTTTTATTTTGGAGGAATCCTTGAAGTAATTTTCATGTCTCAGGGAGCTCCTGCGTAACAGTAGTAACAATGCTCTATTTATTTCAGTTTTGGTGCACTTGTTTCCAATTAATTTAAACATTAATCATCATTATGCTATTATTGAAATGATCAAATAACTCATGCATGTGTTTGTATTATAAACACACACACATGAATGTGAAAACACAATGTTTATTTTTACATTATCTTGCAGAACCTCCAGCAAACTTTCATGAGCCCCAGGGAGAACCCTGGTTAAGAAAGGCTGATCTAATGTAACCATTTCCAACTGCATATTATTTGTTGCATTCTATCCCACACTGCCTCCAGAGAGCTCTGGGTGGTATACAAGGACCCTGCCAGTACAAATTAGGCAGGCACCAACTGTTGGGGGATGTGCCACCTGCTGAAAACATTCTTGTTCCAGCAAGTGTTCCCAGGAATATACTGTTGTTTTCAGTAGAAAATAATAAAATAACATTATTTTATTATGGTTTTCCACTGTATAGTTTTGTACATCCCTTAGACATTTCTTTTAAATTAAGGTAATCATGATTATAATTATTGTAATATAATTATACAGGTTCTCATGGGAAAAATTAGGGTAAAGAGAGTAACTGACCAAAATGTTCTCCATTCTGGTTAGTGCAGTTAGTTCTACCCATAATTAAAGAAGAGTCATTAGCAAAACAATGACCTGATTGCATCCAACACCTTTGGTAACAGCCATAATCAATGGGTTTACTTAACCCAACATACTGGCTGTTTACTTCCACTCTTTATATAGGAACCCTGATTGGCTATTAAGAAATAAAACACAAAACAAAACCTGGCAGTGGGAGGGAGAAATCCAAATCTTCACCTATGTAATAAGAAACAGTTGACATCAATGAGTGCTTTCTTTACTCATGTAGAAGAAAATGCTTTTGATATTTTCCAGTGTGTGCATGTTCCGATTACTCCAGGCATACAAGCAAGTAAACTGTTTGCAGCAAAATAAAAGGTGTTCTTTCCTTCTCTTCATACTCTTACTAAGTGCTCCCATGTATTGATTGGGAAACGCCAAATGGAAGGATGTAGGTTCACAGGTTGGTTGGCTTATTTTTAATTATTTCATCAAGCACCAGTAGTTCATACTTTCAGGACAGAGGCTTTTAAAAAGGCTTTGCATTCCCAATCAGTTCAAGTGCCAGCAAATTTCAAATTCATTTTGCATACCCGATCTACTTTCTTTTGTTGATTGAAGCCTTTTAAAAAGCTGCTCACTGTACCACTAAAAAGAAGAATTGTAGAGTTCATATAAAGACAGTGTTTAGGAAAAGCTGACACATTTCAAGTGGATTAACCTGGCAGGCATAAAGTGGGGAAAAGATTAACCTAAAGATTCAGTACTTTCTGTTGGGGTGGCGGCCTGAAGACATGGTAGGACAGAGGGCATTGGTTATAAGACTGGTCAGTACTGAATAGGTATCCTGAAAGAACTGAAGTAAAAATGCATGGAATAGGCAGATGTGAAAGCAGTATATAACATCTGATAGCTGACTGTCTCTAGAACAAGATTGGTCAAAGTGAAGAGACTTGCCAGTCCGGGTGCTATAGGGAGAGGTGAGCCTCTATTGGCTTTTTATTTTACCAGCCACTGAGTTAGCAAGCTGACGAAATCCTTCTGACCAATTGCATTGGTAGCATCCAATGTAGCAGACCCTGGGGCAGCAGCTTCGTCTTCTGGTGAACTACCAAGGGATTCCCGTGCCTGGGTAGCCCAGTCCATGACTACCTTCCCCCTTTAGCTCTACTCGTATGGAAGATATTGACAGTAATGCCTTGCTGCTGTACAGCTTGGAGTCTTTTTATGCATTGGGTGGCAATACTCTTGCAAGTATGCATATCATCCAAAGATAGGACTTCTCTTGTGTCATGTAATAATTTTATAAGCTATAGATAAGAATACTGACACAGATCCTGGTATTTTAAAGACCATATTATTCAGAGACTATAGATAAACAAACACTTAGCATGCAAACACTTACAGGACAAAAGGAATGAGCAGGTCTTGCCAACCAATGAAGAACAGACAAAGCAGGGCAGCTTCACTTCTTGCAGTTCAGATATTCTGTGATATTGGTGCAGTCACTGAAAAGGCCCTGCCCATTTCATCATTGTCTGCTGTGTCTGGCACACTAGATAGGAGTGTGACACAGAGAAGGAAATGGGAAGATTAGTATGGTTAAGGAAAATCCCTCAGTAACCCTGCATCTGCATGATTTAGGGCCATAAATGTCATCACCAGGTCTTTGAGTGCAATGTATGCCTCATTTACAGATGTTGACAAGGGGTACAAGCAATGTCATCTTCTACTTGTGACACTCACCTGTTTTCATATTGCTTCTCTGTCTTTTTTCTTTAACAATAAAAATCCTTAGGGGGAAAAAGAATGGTCATATAATGCCTTTCATTTGGAAGCATCCTATTTCTCATACATATGACTCCTGCAACTCAGCAAGAGTAACACATTGTTTGGGATATATGAGAAATGCAGAACGTTTGACCAGAGTTTTTCCAGTATTTTATTATTTTATATATTCAAAGTATAGACTCAAAGACACAAATGCAATCTGAAACCAAATTTGAATTTCTGAGCTTGCAGTACAATTATCAGAAGAGAGCACAACAAAAAAGTATACACATAAAAAAATGTAGTTTTGACAAAAATGTACAAGCATACTTTAATCAGTGGAAGAAACTTGTGTTGGTTCAAATGCTCTGTGCTAAGGCTAATCACAAAAGCACATGAAACCTTCCCAAACGTTTGTTTGGTGCCATATTTATAGCCTTTCTGTTGCTAGGGTTTTTATTCACCTAGCCCTCTTATATAACATACATGTATGTCTCAGCTTTTAATCCATGCTTTTATTGTGGTTTAACTTTAGTAGTGTTTATTGTTTTGTATATTATTTTCAGGTATATGCTGGTACCTTCTTACCTGAGAGTAATTCCTTAAGCTCAATGAGATTTACTTTTAAGTGAGGCAGCTATATAATAAATAAAAGAAATCCATAAATTATAGAAGCAGATTTGTTCTGTTTTACTATCTGTTTCCATACTTTTGTTGCGCAGAGAGCTCTTTCAGCTCTGCATGCCATTTTTATGGAATACCACTTCAGGATAATATTTCTACATTTTATTTCTGTAGACCTTTTGTAGACTGTAGAAGCCATGGCCAAATCCATGTGAGGGCCTAATCCAGCTTTCTGAGATTCTTCAAATTATCCTTCCCTAGGTCCCTCCCCTTTTCCCTAAGTGCCAATCATTTAGTGATTTCCTGACTTTTGTGTGCTTTTTTCCCCATTCTAAAAGAGTGACATACCTCAAGGCTTAGATACTAGCGGTTAGAGCATTAAAATAGGCCGGAGGTTTATATATTTTGACACCATTCCATTTTGCCTTTGAACATGCTTGCTACTGGCCTCTGAGAGCTTTTCTGAAATCCAGTTTGCCCCTCATGCTGAAAGGAGTATAGCATTTGCCACAGCATTTAGTATGTTCTGTTCATTGGCATATTTGTTCCCCCTGCTCCCCCAATTACAAGGGTACATGCATTGTAAAAATACTCCCCATGTAGTTGTGTGTACTGTCTCTTGAAGGCTGCTTTTTTACAGTGTTACTCAGTCCACTACTTGCATAGAAAGAAGCCCTGTGGCATTCAGTGGTACTTACTCCAGGGTATAACTGAGTGTAAGATTTCAGCTTTAGTGTGCATGTGTTACATCAGTGATGCAGAGTGGGGGTCAGGGAAAGATAAATGAACTGCAAGTTGAGGTATTCTATTAATGTTTACAGTGCTCTGTAAAAATGTGGAAATAAAAATGGAGCAATGGAGTATTTCTAAAGCATCAATGCCAGGTAGCTGAGAATTCCAAAAATCTATAAAGATAAGTGGGTGAGGAAAATTTTGAAGGAATTCCCATTGTGGTAGATGACTCCAGATTCAAGGGGTTTTGTTTTGTTCTGTTTTGTTTTTAACTGATGACCTGCACTTACATAATTTCCTGCTGTAAAGTAATGCATGTTGGAGCAAAAAAAAAAATCCTGACTTCAAGTATAAACTGATGGGATCTGAGCTAGGAGTGACTGCCCAGGAAAGAGATTTTCCGGTGGTGGTGGACAGCTCAAAGAAAATGTCAACCCAGTGCACTGCTGTTGTGAAAATGACAAAGCCCATGTTAAGCATAATTAGGAAAGGGATAAAACTGCCAATATCATATTGACCTTACACAAATCTATGGTGTGACTGCACTTAGAATACTGTATACAGTTCTGGTCACTGCACCTAAGAAAGGATATTGTAGAGATGGGGAAAAAGTACAGAAAATGGAGCTGTAGTATCAAGTGGCGGGAGCAACTGTTTAGCTCAGAAGTAAGAGGAGACAGGATAGACGTGTACAGTATCATTCCTGGTGTGGAGAAAGTAGACAGGGAGACTTTTTCCCCCCCTTTCTCATAATACTAGAATCTGGAGTCATCCCATGAAGTGGATTGGTGAAAGATTCAGAGCAGATTAAAGGAAGTACTTTTTTACACAGTGCATAGTTAAATTACGGAATTTGATCTCACAAATTTGATGTAGTGATGGCTGCCTATTTGGATGGCTTTAAAAGGCGATTGGACAAATCACTGGACAAGAAGGCCATCAGTAGCTACTAGTCCTGATGGCCATTTGCTACCTCCAGATCAGAGGAAGTGTGCCTGTGTACTCCACTTTCTGGTGAATATGAGTGGAAGAATGCTCTTCCACACCTGCCCTATCTGTGAACCACCAGAAGTTTTGGCCTACAGCTCCTATGATCCGTCACAATTGGCTATGCTGGCTAGGACTGATTTTTTTTAGGCCAAAAAATCTGGAGGGTCACTAATAGACCATCTCTGTAGTCTTGTAATTGCTTTACAAATCTGTGGAACAGCAACAACCAGAACTGTGGTCAGTTCTGTTTGCCTCACTTAAAAAATGATATTGTAGACGTGAGAAAACGGCAGGGTGCACTGCAGATCCCTGATCATTTGGGGGGGGAGGGGGATCATAGGTTTCCTAACCAGCTCATATTTTGTCAGTTTCTTATCTTGATTTTTCCCACGTGAAGCTGCAGTCTTCCATGAGCTAACCTCAGCACATATTATTCCATACTGATGCTGAAAGTCACCATAGTCTTCTTAGGTTTCCACCAACCTGAATAGCTTGGTGTCAACATCAGACTTAGATACATTAATGCCTATCCCAAACTCCAGATCCAGATCAAAAATTAAATAGATTTGATCCCCTCATTGGGGGTCTTAAAATAGTTCCCTTTATTGGCAACAACACTCATTTTATTCCTACCCTCAACTTCTCCTTGTTCAATACATTTCTAATCCTTGAAATGTTCTGTCCTTATTTTGGTATATTTATTTTAGGTTTCTGTATGAAATTGTACTACTTTTAATATTAAATCATTACAGAGTATTCATCATATAACTACATGCTTCTTAGGGTGTGTGTTCACTGTAACTCAAAATTATTAAATGGGTGGAATACTCATAGGAATCCATTATGTGTAATAACAGACAAACTATTATCAGGATCAATAAAATGTGCTAAATGATCCAAACTTGTACATAATTAAGTACATTTTTCAGAGCAGGAATGGTAGCATTTTTCGTTCTTTTCAGTTTTCACATTTATTTCGTAAATAATAAACCCTATTTGTCATTAACCTTTTTGTTGCCAGAATTGCTTTCAGGAGATATTCTTCAAATATTGATTTATTCAAAATATGTCCAGAGTTGATTTCTATAAGAAATCAGACTAAAACAGTGGCACTTAAAAACAGCATCTTAGACATAACTACTTTAAGAACACCAATGGTCTTGCCTTTTATCTTTTTTAAGAAGAGTGGGTCCTGCTCCCTAGAGCAGCTTGTTATCCAAAAAAATCAAAACAAAAAACCAAGTTCAAGAGGCTTCCTCAAGAGAGTGAGCAAACATGACCTGTGGTAACCTGTGGAGAGAGAACTCTCCCTTGGCAACCTAGTTGTTCTCCATTGTGGGCCTGCCCCACAGCATCCTAGATGCATACGATATATGGATGTGTATATGGAGAAGCAGGGTCTGGTTTGTCATTTTCTCATGGATAAAAATGACACAAAGTTCCCCTCACCAAACTTGGCTTGTTTAATGCAACAAAATAAATGGGGAGGCACTGGGAAGGCTTACAGCTCAGTGGCAGAGCAGGTACTTTGCATGCAGAAGATCCTGAACTTCTAAGCAACACTAGAATGATTCCTTACTGAAGCCTTGAGACTCCCGGCCACTCAGATGGACAATATTGGGCTAAATGGTCTAACCCATTATAGGGCAACTGTGTTCCTGTAGTAAATGCTGTTCTGTGTACAAGGAAAGCTGATCTATAATTTTGCTTACCTTAGCCATGGCATTCTCATGCCTATTTTTCCCTTCAGGAAAACAAACAAAATTGGAGGTATGAATTTTAATCTGGAAATGGTGCAGGTAGAAAAAGTGACCTCTCAACTCCCAATCCTAACCAATCCTAATTCTTCCTTGTCTTACACCAGCTACTATTCCAATTTAAAACTATATGGTGCAAGAATCTGATTATAGGTTTGGACCCCTGCTGTACTCATTTTATAGGGAAAATCAGTCCTAGACAAATTCTAGAATTGATTAGTGAGCATGCCAAGTGGATCACTATTTCCTGAGTTCCTGCTTCAGCACTATAGGGCATAACAGTGGATTTGGGAATAATCCTAGGAAATGAAAGTGCATTTTGTTGTTCTTTCTGGAACACCATCTACGTGCCACTAGACGCAAATGGTGCATGTTGCCTTGGCAGTCATATGGGCCAGTGAGGGGCCACTGTGTGTTCCCTTGAAGCTGCCTTACATTAGCTCTGTTTAGCTCAGCTGCTTGTTGTCTCACAAGCATCTGATTGGCAGAAGTTCTTGGAGATCTTAGGTCTCCAAAGTGTTCCTCAGCTCTGCATCTGGAGAACCTTTAGACATCCTGAAAGCAACTCACACGTCTGGTATGGAGTGGCTAGTTTCCAAAATTAAAGTAGTACTATGTCAACTCCACTCTCTGAACTTACTGAAACTGTAAAGCAGATGCAGGACTTTAGAAAACCTTCTCTTTGCACATTCATGATCAGTGCTTTAGTGCACTCTAATGCTTTCAGCTTTCTGCATATTTGAGAAATACATTTTGAAAATGTTCATGCAAGGTTTGGTGCCTGTTTCTTTATGTAAACCAGGCACACTTATAGGAAGCAATTACATGTTCATAATTACATCAGAGACCCAAAAAGATTCCAGAAGGTCAATATGGTTATAAGTGGGTAATTATCTCACTTACTCATAGGAGAGTCCAGAAAATGCTGAGTAAATTCATGCAAATCCACCAACTATTATTTGCTCTTTCTTACCACAGTGCAAGTTACACTCCAGAGTGCTGGCACTGTAATCCTGCTTCCTGGCATGAAAACTGAAAACGGCTGTTGCTCCTTTTGTTTTGCAGATTCGATGCACATAGAAGATGTTGAAGCAGTTCAGAAACTCCAAGATGTCTTACATGAGGCACTGCAGGATTATGAGGCTGGGCAGCATATGGAAGATCCACGCCGGGCTGGCAAGATGCTCATGACTCTGCCACTGCTGAGGCAAACCTCCACTAAGGCTGTGCAACATTTCTACAACATCAAACTGGAAGGCAAAGTCCCCATGCACAAACTTTTTTTGGAAATGCTGGAAGCCAAGGTCTGACTAAAGTATCCTGGGCCTTCCAGTTCTGCACGCTGAAATTTTAATGAAAGGGAAAATAAACAGGAAAACTAGGACAAAGAAACTTTAGCAGTTAAATTAAGGAAACTAAAATGACTGCACTGATACTTAGCAGCAAGACTGAGAAGCAGCACCTCTTTTTATTCTGTGTCTTATCTGATACAGTTTTCCTTCTTCATTTCTCTCTTCTTTTACTGTTCTTATTTCTCTTTTCTTTGTGATTTTTCCCCCTTTGCTGCTGAATATTTTGAAAAGAGGTCTCTAATAGAAGAGAGATGGAAGCCAGGCCTGCCAAAGGATGGAAATCCGTAATATGGATGCCAGTGAACTTATTATGAACCACAATACCCCAATGACAAAGGAATCAAAAGAGAACCACCGTAACTAGCAGTACAGTACAACACGATGAACTGACTGAATGCAGTATTAGGTTTCACAAGAGCAGCCTCTAATTAGATGACTTCGATGACGACGCATTGGCTGCTTCTTATCATTGCATTTCCATCTAGATCAGTTACAGCCATTTGATTCCTTAATTGTTTTTTCAAGTCTTCCAGATATTTCTTAGGTTAGCTATGATGTAAATTTTTCAGGGAATAGTTTGAGCTTTATTCATTCATGCAATACTAAAGAAGAAAGATAAATAAATACTGCATTTTTTTGTGCTGGCTTGAACAATGACGAACATTTAATGAAGGACAAATGAATCCTGATGGAAGATTTTTTTAAGCAATTGTTTCTGTTCTTCTTACTAATGAAAATTTTTTTCTACCAGCTTTACCACTTTTCAGCCATTTGTTAACGTGGGAATTTATCTTACTCGAGCAATAGTTGAAGGGAAGGTGCATATTATCACGGATGCAATTTATGTTGTGTGCTAGTCTGGTCTAAGACATGCCGTTTCTTCACATGAGTTCCAGTTTATACCTAAGTGTTCACTGAAACAAAGGATTAGATTACACCTACAATATGTCTGAGTAGTCTAACATATTAAGATGCCATGTCAAATAGAAATCTAAAAAGGAGTTAGTAAGTGCTTCTCCGTGGCCAAGATACAATTGCTACATGATACCTTGTGTTAAGTAAAGATACAGCCTGCCATTTAAAAAATTGTGGACTATGTAATAAAGTCCCACCCACCCCAGTTACCAGTAAGGCAAATTCAAATATCAGAATAGTCAGCCTCTGACCAAATTCAAGAACTTAGCACTTGTACACATTATTTATTAATTTAGAAAAACTTTATTTGGAGTAGATTGCCATTTTTAAACAAACAGCCTTTTCAACTGGTGTTGTCACAGCATGAAAGTTGGTCAGTTTCAGGACTGTTAAGAGGTGTAATCTAATGTATAAACCAATTAGATGCCCCCAGAAAACTACAGTCGCTAAATAACCAATAAACAGTAACCTCCATCAAACGCTATACCAATGTACCAGTGTTAGTAGCTGCTCCCTGTACTATGTGAACAACCTTATTGTATGTACACAAATGTAATTAAAATTGTAATCCTAACAAACAAAAGAAATGTAGTTCAGCTTTTCAATGTTTCATGTTTGCTGTGCTTTTTGGAATTTTTTATGTTGCATTCAAAGACTGTTGTCTTGTTCTTCTTGTGGTGTTTGGATTCTTGTGGTGTGTGCTTATAGACACAGGGTAGAATTAGAGACAATATTGGATGTAAAATTCCTCAGGAGACTACAGTAGTATATTCTATTCCTTCTGGTAATAAGGTTCTTCCTAGTAATAATTAAGAAATTGAAAAGAAAAATCCAACCAAGTACTCATTATGAACAGATACACATTGAAATCATATTTTCAAAACAAGGGATAATTTCTGTAACAGTTTATTATAGAATACCTATGTATAGCTTAGAAATAAAACTTTGAATATTTCAAGATTATAGATACGTCTAATTTTTAAATGCTGTAAATATAGCTTTCATCCAATCATCTCAGATGTTGTTATTAACTTGCTCAGTGTTGTTGCAAAACCATTTTTTTAATGCAGACACGTTTCCAAAATTAATGCTAATTGTGTGCTTTAAGCGAAATACAGCAGGTTGATGTTACATCAACCTTGTGCTAGAATACTGTGTATCTCTCATTAGCTATATGGGATTCTCTCGTAGATTGTGTTTTTCTCAGTAGAGAAGTGACTGTCGTGTGATCCTAGATAAATCATCATTAGCAATTCATTCAGTTGGCCAATAACTTGAAATTAATAGTGTGATAGGAGTTTGGAAATTGGCATGTCCCTTTTGAAAAATGACAAAACCTTACAACTCCTGGGGGGAAATGGTGCTGATTCTATAAAATTATTTATATATGTAAGAGTGCAGAATAATTATTTTCCAGAAAATTTGTGCAGGGTTTAAGTTGCTAGTGTTAACTATACTATATATGTATATATAAATATCTAATATAAATATTGTTTTTGCTGTATCACATTGAAGAACTTGGGTTTCCAGGGTCAATAGCCAATCAACACACTCAGAAAAGAAAAATACAAAGATTTAAGAAAGATGGAATGTGTAAAAGGAACACAGTGCAATTTTTACTGTTGGATTTCAGTAATTTTCAGAGCTGCAATGAACAAATATCTCATGGCTGTACAAATGTTAACTGAAACATAGATACACTGCACAGGCATTAGAATAACATTCATCTTAAACCTTGCTGAAAGAAATTTTCACAACCACTTATTTAATGTGAAGTATTGGGGAAGATTTCAAAAGGTGTATGTTTTAGCATAACAATTTTCTTAGGGGAATAAAATCCATGCAGAACTTCTCCTGCACATGCCATTGACATAAAAGGTACAGTGTTAAGACCTCTGTATTTTTGTTTGGTTCCCCCATTCAGTCCAATGTGCAGAAGACTCTTCTCATGGATTGTACCCTGTGCAATTTTTTTCCTTCTCTTTTTTTTTTCCCTTTCTTCTTATTTAAAGCAATATGATTGTGTGACTCCTGGAAGTTACACATTTGTTTCAATCAAATCAGATTGTTGTATTTATTCCACTATTTTGCATTTAAATGCTAACATAAAAAGATATAAAAAATTAAAACTGCTATTTTTCTTATGGAAGAGAAAATGGGTGTTGGTAATTGTATTTTAATTATTTAAGCGTCTCTGTTTACCTGCCTAGGAAAACACTTTATGGCAGTCTTATTGTGCAAAGATCGCAAAAGAGAGGGAAAACTGAATTAAGCTGCTTATTATAATCCAGGAGTTGCATAATAACCAGTAGTAAAAACACAAATGAAAAAAAATCATGTCTATAGCTGTAGATGGGCTTCACATCTGTAAAGCAATCAACTGTATATTTTTGTGATGTGTATCATACTGTGTGCTCCAACCAATGTCCATTTGTGTAAATGTATTTATTTTATATTGTATATATTGTTAAATGCAAAAAGGAGATATGGTTCTGTAACTCCAATCAGTTCAGATGTGTAACTCAAATTATTATGCCTTTCAGGATGATGGTAGAGCAATATTAAACAAGCTTCCACTTTTAATTGCTTTTAATTTTTGCGTTGTGGATTTTGTTTTGTTTTGTTTTATTTTCTGTATCGAGGAATTAAATCACCAAGCACCATCTTTAGTAGAGGAATAAGGCTTTATACCCTTAAGCTAATGTTGCTGCATGGGTACATGCTATATAAAAACTTGTCAAAATGAATTTTGGTGTGTTATAGACATTTTACATACTCTTAAATATGCAGAGTGTCTCTTAACACATTAGAATTCATTCTGACAAGCACTTCTTTACTCTTAAAACATCTCCACATCAAATCATGTTACTGAAAATCATTGCCTCTCTGTCATAAAAGTAAAGTTCTCCACTCATATTCATACATTCTAAAACTGACTCTTTTCTTTCTTTATCAACTTAAATCTATTCCACCTACACAATATGAATGGGTTTTTGTTAATTTAGACGTTGTGTTTTTAAAGCAAACCAGCGTGATGTTCTAGTTTGCATGATTATTGTAGCGGACTTGCTGAAGCCGTGGTGCATGCTGGCACATGCCAGGCACAGTCTGAATAATCTCCTGCCCAAATGCAGTGTGTCATGCTGTCCAGACTGAGGCGGCATGGCTTGTTTGAGGGAGAAAAACCCTCCAATAAGTCACTGGGTGTTGATGGGGTTGGATAATAGGAAAGGCACATGCTTATGCAAATAGCCTGTAACGATTGTCCAAACCAGGTCCATCTCTCTGATTTGCAATAGGAATTATGAATTACAAGCCCAACGACTAGAGACGTAATAAGGTGGATTGGTGTTAATTTTGATTATTAGTAATTCTGTAGGACAATAGAAGAGCTTTGGTCCAGGCTTGAGTCACATGCGCTGCTGCTTCTTGCCATAGGCAAATTCTGTTCTCAGAAGACTCTTCCACAGCCATCACACAAAATTTAATTTTGCTTTTAGCCTATCCCAAATTCCATGATTGAGCTTGGTCCACATGCTTCTTCTCTTTAGCTGTAGCTCCTCTCCAGGGAATTAGATCACCACAGAAGTAAGGACTGGGGTTCAGCCCCCCGTCTTGCCCTCATCCCTTAGTAGGACCAACTACCTCCTGACAATGGTATGCTGTGCTTTAAATAAGGAAGTAGAACATGGATCAGAATTTTGGATCGTGCTATCATTAACATAAACCACTCATAAAAATGATCTATTCATTAGTAGCGGAACAAACCATATCCCCCAGTTTCAAGAAATCTGTTGCCTTCTGCAAAAGAGGCAATTATTTTTCTCCCTCTTTTGTACAGGGGTGGTGAATTTATTCAAACATTTAATGAGTGAGAGGTAATGCTTATGGCTCTCAGTAAAGTTGCTGAGAGTGTTGGTGTTATTTCTTTAAAGTACTTTTAAACATGAAAATAATCTTCCTTGGGCAATTTTCCATTGTGCCCAGCTCCCTGTGTCTTGGATATACCCAAGGAAGTACGTCTTCACAGAGCATCTAAAGGACAGGGAGTGTTTGTATCCTAGAATCTGAAAGGATCTCCTTTTAATACCAGAAAAAGAGTCTCACCTGGCTTCCTGATTAGGCAACTTTCCCAGCAGGAACTGGAGAAATGAAGCTTGCAAGTTCAGGATGCACCTGGTCCCCACTGGCACAACTGGCGCCGACAAAGCTGTGAGCAAGTTCCCCATGCTTGCAAAGGTTCCTTACTCCCCAGTCCATAGGGAAACAGCCACTGCAGGAGCCACCAAAAGGAGCAACCATCCAGCAGCAAACGCAACCTCTGCCTAGTTCTTATTTGCAGGAGCTGCTCCTGCACGCCAGAGACTCTGGTTCAAAGGCCTCCCCACAGTTAGAAGGAGCAGCAGCAGCCACTTCCCTGCCCAAATCAGGCAAAGGAACCTTGGCAAGCAGAGAGCATGTGAATGCAGACAGGACAAAATTCCACACAAATACAAGTGCCAGCCTGCAACCATTTCTCAAAACATCCCACATCTTCCCCAAAAATTTCAAGTACAACTTCTTTTTTTCCCTTTTGCCCCCTTAACTGGTCTGTGTGTGTATCTGGCACAACACTGATCTTAATTTTCTTTTGAGTGTAACAGTAAAGCTTCACACTATTGTTGAAAATCTACTTTTCTCCATGGCCCCTCATCATGATTTGCATCCAGTTCTCAAATGAGACACAAAATTGAACAGAAGCCAAAGAAAAACAAACCATGATTAAGTATATTTACTTCATTTGTAAAATATTTGTAAAATGAGTGTATGTAGGATTATCACAATTTAAAAAAGAAAGGCACTATTATGAAAATTTGTTGTTAAAATCAGTGGAAATTAATAATAGCTAAATACTATTTCACACTGTAACTTCCAAATACTCCTAATTAGATAACTTGCTTTTTCATTAGGTTGAAGTTTATAATGGCAGGGTTTTCCATGTATAATCATGCTAATAATCATGAGCATTTTTACAGAACCTTTCATTCAAGAAGCTCAAAATATTTTATACACTTTCATGAAGCTTTACAGTTCCTCCCAAAGGAAGATTAATCTCAATGTTACTCTGTAGTTGTCCTTACTGCTCTTGGATAGCTTCTGATTCAGAAATATTCCATATATAAATATTTATATTTTGCTACAGACAGCCATCCTGCTGGAATCAGCCCTGCTTTGCATGACATGATGACCTACTGTGGGTTGTCACCCACAATGGGTTGTGTCATGTGAACCAAGTCACTGAAAGGTAAAATGAAAGGTGTTGGGCTATATACTTCTTTCTTACTAAGCATAGGTTAGTCGTCTGATGTAATTTATCATTTAACTTCCCTCTGTTGTGTCAATGTGAGTGTTTTGCTGGTTTTGAACTTTATGGGTGGATGACAAGAGCATTCAAGTGACCCCCTTTTTTGAAGTCCAATTTACTTAGAACTAAAAATCAGACTTAAGTAAAATAAATATAGAATACATTCCAGGTGACCTTGCTTTTGTTGTGAATAGGGGTGTGATACTTAAAGTTTCACAGAATCCATCAATATTACCAACACCACCTTTGTCCACCTTTTTAACCAACCTTCACTGTGAGTGAGAAAGGAAGAGCTACAGCTATAATATTCATGCAGGAACTTGATCCACTGAGGATTATTGTTAACTTTGCAAGGCTGATCATCCAACCTTGATAGTTTTGCACATGTAATGGTTGGTCTTTTTGTTGTCTTTTAGTTATAGGCTCTACAAATATGTTGCTGAGGTTCTGGTGTCAACCACTGCAGCAGATAGCATGCATCTGGAGCAAAATAATTCAGTCGCAATACTTGAGTGAGCAAAGCAGATGGCTGCTGACATCTCTATGGATGGGAGAAATCCAACAAGATATGGTTCTAAGTCTTGATTTTTAAGTCCCTTTTTGTATAGATAGTGCACTGATTCAACATGCCTGATATGTACAAGCCACTTTGAAACAGGTAGAATCCATTCTGGTTTTGTTTAGAACAAATCAGGGACAGGGACAAATAAAAGCATTGACCCAACAGGGACTGTAACTCAGGAGTTACTTAAATTTGCTTAAATCCTGAGTTACAGTGAATTAGTCAGCATGCTAGTTCGCACGAATTGACCAGTAAGGTTTGGCTCCTGCTCAGGGGGGAGCTGGTTGTTTATCACGATGTCTGAACCTGGAACTCTGGCTTGTGTCTCCCCCAGCAAGGCAGAGTTGGAGCCTTAGAAGCAAAAATGGCAAGTAGGCTTGGACAGCTAGGGTGGACCATGGCAGTCTCGTCCACTTATGCTAGTGGCAGGGAAGGACTTAAATAGCTGCCTCGCATTTTAATATCTCATAAATTTGCAGAAAGTCCTGCAGCATCTGCAAACTGTACTTTCTAACTTTTCACAGTGGTCTGAATGAAAAGGGAAGAAATGTTGTGGTTTGCCTGTTTTTCCCTTTTATTTGTGCTCACTTTCCTGCATGCTGCAGACTGATACATGACTGGTGCTTATCTTTATTAGGCTTTAGAGCCCTCCTTTTCATAAGATTCAAATACCCATGCTTAGCTTCCTTAGATGCAGTTAATATAAAGAAAGCAAGTAGCAGCCGATTGATTGCACGTGGCATCTTATTATTAAGCTGGGCTGGAAAAAAAGAGAAAGGAATGTTAAAATATAATCCTCCTTTCCCTGGAGCATTTGTCTTGTTCTCTGTGAAGTTAAAGGTCTGAAATAATGTGCCCATCAGGAGTTCAATGTTGCATGTCCATGCCAGTTGGTCCAAAGGCTTGTTATGATGGTAATGACCTGCTGCAACGTGAGCTTTGATGACAACAATACAATTGCTACTAGCTCACCCGCTGGGAGAAATATTTTATTATTGTCAAATGCCCTCCATAGAGATTTGTTTTGCCTGTTCCTGTTTAAATTAAATCCAGAAAAGAATGGCATTATTTCTCAGGAGTATCTTTGAAATAAACTGCAAGTTTTCAAATTTAGGATTCCTGGCCAGTTTTTAAATATTCTTTATTAGCACAGGAATGACAATAGGTAAAATGAAAGCCACAGGAATAGGGTGTTGATTGCACTGTGAGAATGCGAGCACAGCCTGGACGCATAAGGACTCCCTCTGATTTTGCAGATGAGAGTCAAATTAATAATTAAGTGTGGCATAAAAATGGGGCAGCTTCACGAGGCACAAGAAGGCAGAGCACTTTGTTGTGGCTTTCTGAGGAAATGGTGTCATAAAACAACACCACCTCCACGATGAGTGGACATCCTTACAGAAACTCAATGAAGGAACCAGACTACACATTGCAGCTTGGTGCGCTTTCATTCAGCACATTCTGCAGCATCTTTCTCCTGGTTGTTCCACTTTGTCAGCAGTCAGTCAGCAATCTTTGGTCCCTGAGCACATTTCTGTTTTTTATCAGGGGTGGGGGTACGTCTGCAAATTCCTTAGGTTGAGCCTATTTGTACAGCACACAGAGCATCAGAAACACAGAGGAGGATAATAAATTCATCATCGCCATCCATGTAAGAGAAGCACATGCTGTTGTCAC